GGTATGTTTACCATTAAACTTGACAGAATGAAGGGCACCTGTCCTCAGAACATTATCTATGTTAGGAGCTTAGGAACTGTTCTGTAATTCAACGATCTGCCATATTTTGTCCCCAAAAGGAAAATTCTCACCAAAAGGAACACAGAAAAATAAATCATGAAGTCTTTTGCTCCTTGCATGCATCTTACCTGTGGAATCTTGTAGATGAATAAAATGTTTGACATGTAAGGACATACATTGGAGTCAGGTCCTCCGATGAAAGCTATGACATTATCCCAGACATCATATTTGTAGTTAGGAATGAATCTGCCCCACGTGGAGAGATGCTTGAATGAGGCCAGGTAGGTCCAATTTGGAATAAAATAGCTATTATAGAGGTGGAAGTCCAGGGTGAGGTTGAGGAAACCCTGAAATTTTTCATTGATCTCCTGCACAGCAAAGACAAAGGCCAGGGTGTGTTGGTACATCTGAGTCACAAACCTGCAAGGTGATATAACACTGAATCAAAGTATAGCAGAGTTGGAAGGCATCAAGAAGGCTAACAGGTGCAACCCACTGCTGTTTCAGGACACCTATTCACACCATTCCACTCAAATGACTGTCCAGTTTCTTTTTGAATGCCTCTAGAGTAGGAGAGCTCATGGCCTCTCTAGGAAACTGGTCCCACTGAAGTATTGTTCTGACAATTATGAAACTTGTTCTGATATCTAGCCCGAATCATGTGTTTTTGTGACATGAGTTGATTATTCCATGTTCTACACTCAGTCATCAGTCATCAGCTCTTGACCTTCCTCTTTCTGACAGCCTTTGAAGTACTTATAGGGTGATATCATATCCCCTCTCAATCGTCTCTTCTCAAGGCTGAATATGAACAGTTTTCTCAGTCTCCGCTCACAGGGCAATTTTTCCAGACCCTGGATAATTTTTGCTGGCCTCTTCTGGACCCTTTCTAGTCCATCTACTTCAGAACATGCAGGATGCATTTCCAACTGACAGAGGGTTAGTAAATATAGTATAAAATTATGGCTGCAGTTCAGGCAATTGTGAACAGATCTTGGAATCCTGGCCAGGCTTTTCATGTCTCTGATCAATACCACTACTTCTGTAGAAGCTACAATTGCATTCCCACATTAATGTAATTCACAATTGCATTCACACTTATTCAAAATTGTCTTGAAGATGCTTAGTGTCTTATTTGTTCATAGTCTGTATTATGCCACTGCATTTTTTTAAAAATTAAAATGCAAAAATATCTTTATGTAAGACAGAGTATACAGCATTAAAGTGTTAAAACAGGGTTGTGAGAAGGATGGGGGAAAGGTGAATTCCTAGAAGGTTAATAAAACAGATTTAGCCAGGTAGGCTCTGAAAAATGGTTGCAGGAAAATGTAAGTAAAAGATATCCCATTCTACAAGGGAGCAATCAAAAGCCTCTCTTCAGAAAAGAAAGTTGAGAAGCACCCACAACGAGGGCAAATGTTTGCTCGTCTCCATCTTTTAAACCAAAACCAAGTTCCTCCTAGATCTCGCTTGCAAAAAGCAAAAATCTGCAAAGGATTCAACTCTTCAGTAGTAAAAGGCAAGGGCACAGCTGAAAGTGTGAAGGGAGAATATGTGGAGAATCATTGAAGAAAGAGGGACTTTGGGCCTGTAAGTGAACCATCTTGCTACAGGATAAAATGCACAGAACCATAATGCGATAAGTCAAGCTGTACCATGTAGGTTGGTGCCTCCCATTTCTGCCACATTGCTATTAATCTGTGGCATTTGCAATTCAGTGCTGACCCATGGCACCATTACTATGGGTTTTAACTCTGCCACGTCCTTGTTTCTTATGTTAACAACTTAAGAATATAAGAAGAGCCGAATTCCTTGCACCTCAAAAATTACCCAGATGGATGGGCAGAAGTGCAGGGGAGAAGGATGGATGCTCACCTCCCTTGCTGAGATGACCATCAGCCTGACTTTAGTTTGATGGGATGCACCTGAAAGGATGCTCAGGATAAGACACTGAAACTCTGTGGATGCCTAAGCTGATGCTGATGCTGATGCAGCAAAGGGAGAGAAATGCTGTCTTTTGAAAATGAATAAGATTTGCAGCTTCTCATTCCCACAGCATTGATATTAAATGGAGGAAAGGACTGTAGCGCAGTTTGCTTGTACATAATTAATAAATGAATACATAAATATGTACATTTTGAAGCAAATGGAAGTAGGAAGGTTTAGTGTTCTCTGCTCAAAACTTCTGGCCCTGTTACTAAGCTCGGTGCTGCATTTTGCAAAACTGCATCTTGTGAAGCATCTTCAGAGGTTACCCGGTATGGAGCTCATTGCAGTAACTTCCAAGGATAATTGGGAGTTACCAGAGAACTGATAGATGTGTAGCTGGGCTACCAACCAAAGTGGGTAACAGTGTGGAAAGTTTCTGTTGGCCTTCCTCACTGGAGCAAAATTCATGTGCAATAAGAATTGATTAAATAAATGTGGCCCCATGTACTTGTGGATGCCTGCAGCACACGTTCTGGTTGTGATATGTGTGTTTAATGAACATCAAGACTGGTCATATGGCAAATGCCACAAGGACCAGCTCCCAGGTCTTGAGGCAGTACCACAAGGGCAGAACCTTGAGACTCCACACATCCACTTCTCCGATGGGATGAGAAAAGCCATCTACTGTTCCTTTGCAATAAAGAAAAGAGCCAGTTCAGCCTTAGGGGCAGGGCCTGTTAGGGACCCTGGGTAAGGGCATGTGTGCCTAAGAACCACCTAGGCATTGTAAGTATTGGAATTTTTCATACATGCCTTTTTGTCACAACCGTCTGTTTGGATGAAAAAACTGACAGGGAGGATTCATAGCCTTCAAAGACAAGTTATGACTAAGTACCAGTCCAGGAAGTGGTAACCTCACATTCTGCAAATGTCCTTTGAAGAAAGTGGAGTATGCTCTGCCTTGTCCAACTATTAAGCTACCAATGGAGGGAGATGTGGCAGGGGTATATAATTAATGCACTACTTTGGCTCTGAATGCCATCCCACGTGAGGACTTCCAGGGAGGCTATGAAAAATGGAAAATCACTGGGTGCATTGTGTACACTCACAAAGTGCATGTTTTGAAGGAGACAATGTTTACCGAAGCTCAATCCAGACAAGACGGAGGTCCTGTTGGTGGGTGGTTCGGGACTCGGGATGGGGGACTCGGGCCTTGTCCCAGATGGGGTTGCACTCCCTCTGAGGGACAGGGTCTGCAGCTTAGGAGTGCTCCTCAACCCTGAGCTGTCTGTAGAAGCCCAGGTGTCTGCGGTGGCAAGGAGCACTTTCCTTCAGCTTCGGCTGATACATCAGCTGCGTCCATTCCTGGAGAACAATTGCCTGGCGACAGTGACACACACGCTGGTAACTTCCTGATTAGATTTCTGCAACACACTTTACGTGGGGCTACCCTTGAAGAAGGTCCGGATACTTCAATTGGTGCAGAATAGAGCTGCCAGGCTGCTGACGGGGACTGGGTGTTGTTCTCATATAACCCCAGTTCTCCGTCAGCTCCACCAGCTCCTGATTGAAGTCCGGGTCCAATTCAAGGTGTTGGTTATGACCTATTAAGCCCTCAATGGCTTGGGCCCTGGGTATCTAAAGGAATGCTTGCGTCCATATATGCCCTCCCACCCCTTGAGATCAGCAACGGATGCCCTTCTCCAGGAACACTCTGTGAATGATATTAGGAGGGTGAGTACCCGGAGGAGGGCTTTCTCTGTGGTGGCGTCCCACCTATGGAATGCGCTCCCCAGAGAGGTCCTCCTGGCGCCATCGTTATTTGTTTTTCGGCGCCAGGCTAAGACCTTTTTATTTAAAACTTATTTTAATTGTTAATTTAATTTATTATGTAGGATTTAAAAAAAATTAAGCTGAGATGCACCGGGTTTTAATATTTTTATTGTATAATTTTTATATGCTTTTGTTTGCTTTTGTTGTGAGCCACCCCAAGGCTTTGTTTCGATGGGGGCGGCATAGAAATATTTTAAATAAATAAATACTTGTAAAAAAATTCAATAAAAGAATTTTAAAAATATCATTCTCATTACTTTCTGGACACACCTCATATAGTGCTAACTCTTCCCAATGCCCTTATTATCAGAAGGCATTTTATTGGCAGAAAATATAAATTGAACAGTAAACAACTACTCTTGATTAGCAACAGTTCCACAATGGGGAGGAGCAACTACTTTGGCACTGAGAGATGCAAAGACTAGGCAGAGCAGTCCTACTGCAAGCCAACCTCTGTTTGAAGCTCTGATTGCTGTCAGAGAGGAAACAATATATCCATTGAACACTATTGGTTCATGAACCCAAGCCTCCAACATTAAAGCACTATTACAAGATATAATATAATTAATATATAATTTATCCCTGACCTTCCCTTTCCAACCTCCTCCATTCCACAAAAGACATATAATTAAGGAGAATTGCCCTCAGTCAATAAGCTTCAGCATTTCCAGAATCTCAAAAAAGACACTGCCACTTTTAATTGGTAACATCGGCTTGTTTAAAGACCCAGAAGAAAAATTAAGGAAAGGTGGTGACCCTACTTTATGGATTTACAGAAGCTAGAAACTAATCCAACCTTTTGAGTTAGCAATGTCAACATTTACTTTAATAGTATAGACTTAGTGACCAATTCTTCCTCAGGGTGAAGAACAATGGATTTAAATGCTTCATCTTGGTTTGTTTTCTGAATGATACAAACAGGGAGAGCACTATATTAGTAAATAGTGATAAGACTTAAGTTCTCATGAGGTTTAATCAAATTCCTGTTTATTGCAAGAAGGCTGGCTAGTTTGAAAAAGAAATACATGGAACATGTGATAACTTTTCAAAGATTCAATCCATCATGATTAGCTCCAAGTGGAAAAAAAATTTAAGAGATGGTAACTAGTGCAGATAGAGAAGAATAAAGTTGGACATATTCAGCATTTTAATCAGATTGGGGTGATATAATTTTAAATTCAGTAATTCTTCCTTTTCATTAGCTGATGCTTGTTGTTCAGCTCAGGTCTTATTAAAATAATGTAGCATTTGGGAGGAAAAATACAGAGAAGCAACCCAGCACTGGATGACATGATGGAGAATATCTCCACAGCCACCATGTACTTTCCTTTTGTGCTCTGATAGGCTGGAACAAAGGTCAACCAAACACTGCAGAAGACCAGCATGCTGAGCGTGATAAATTTGGCTTCATTGAAACTATCAGGCAACTTCCTTGCTAGGAAAGCCACCATGAAGCTGACAATGGCCAGGAAGCCCATGAAGCCCAGGACAAAGTAGAACATGACCTCTGAACCTTCATTGCATTCCAGGATGATTTCTTCAGACATCGAATGCATGTCAAAATCTGGAAAGGGAGGAGAGGTAGCCAGCCAAATTGTGCAAATTATGGCTTGAATCAGGGAACTGGAAAGGACAATGCAATTAGCCAGCTTTGCACCCACCCATCTTCTCATTATGGATCCTGGCTTGGTGGCCATGAAAGCGAGGACCACAGTGATGGTTTTGGCCAACACACAAGAAACAGCCACTGAGAAGATGATTCCAAAAGCAGTTTGTCGAAGGAGACAGGTCACCTTGTCAGGTCGGCCAATGAAGAGTAAGGCACCAAGGAAGGAGAGCAGGAGGGCAACAAGGAGAGTGAAGGTAAGGTTTTGATTATTGGCTTTGACAATTGAAGTGTCCTTGTGGGTAATGAAGACGCAAAGTACCAAAGCAGTGAGAAGTGAGAAGAAAAGAGAGACCAGAACTGAACTGATTCCCAAAGGTTCTTTGTAAGTAAGAAAACTGATCTCTTTGGGAATGCATGAATCCTGGTTCTTGTTTGGATAGTGATCTTCTGGGCATTCATAACAATTGTCCATGTCTGAAATAGAAAGGACATTCTCTTTCCATGCACATATTTTATACAGTACAATATTGTGCAGTGTATTAGCTTTGCAGGAATCCAAACAAGGCAATCCTGCAATGAAATGCAGACCTGAATACTGTGTGACCAGGAGAAGTTGAAGGTGTCCTCTCACCCTGAAGTTCAGAAATTAGTACTTCTCAAAACCTCCATCTCCACCTTGTCCACACTGGGTGTAAGCCTTTTGCTGCATTTTGTTTTATTTCTGAGAACATTCTTATGCACAAGTACTGGCACCCATTATATGAGTATATCAAACTTCAGCAGGAAACTAATTCAGCCCATTTAAAGAATAATCCTATGGCCCCAAAACAGTATCTAGGGAGACTTTGGATTTTTCATTTCCCTGATCAGAGGTTAGAAGAAGGGCTCTCACCACAGGGCTGAGGTCCTGCTCTCAGATTTCCTTTTCCCCTTTAATCTGGCAAGTTAAGAGCTGTGCTGGCTCTTTCTCTGAGGTCATAAAAGCAAATACCAAGGAGGAGTGGAGAATAGGGAAGAGTTGAGGCAGGAGAGATCCTGAGGTACCAGTTTCCTTTCCTCTTTCACCACAGCACTTTAATTAGGCAGCCAAAATTGGTCATCCAGCTCAACTGCTGTGGTGAAGGAGTAGGGAAGGGAAGATTACATCAGAATTCAGAGGCTTTCAGGCACCCTTTTGGATTGTGAATCCTTTTTTATTATATATTGAAGAATTGAGCAACAACAACCTCTACCTGCTACCCTGCAAAAAATGCTTAAACTTGACACGCAATCTCACTTACCTTTCTGGTTTGAAATCTTCCCTTGTGGGCATGGAATGCAATTATAGCAGCAAAATGGCTTCCCTTCCACCTTTGTCTTCCTATAACCCAATTGGCAGAATTCATTACACTGAGATATAGGCTGTGTCTGTGCATGAAACAGTGAAATTGTCAACAGAAGAAATAATTCTGGAGTGTATAGTTCAGTGATGGCTTTCTGGCTAACAAATAGGTTTACAGTTGCAGATAGAAGTTGCCCCAGATTACCACTTCTACACAGAAGCTTCAGTCAGTTATGTTCACCATGTCATCTCTGGCTTGCACTTTTTATGTCATGCCTTCCTGAAACCTTATGGGAAAGGAAAATATTTTTTTCTTCTGTGGTCTCTGGGTTCACACAAGTTAAGCCTTAGTGGTTTATAAGTTTGAAGCCTGAAATCTTCCTGCTGGGTGGTTTACAAACTGCCTGAATTAGGCATGGTGTTGTAGGCCAACACCTCCTTCCCCCAAACTCTTTCCTTTTCCGTTCTCAGCAGATTAAGGTGAGAAGCTTCCAATGACAGCCTTTAAATATGTTAAAACTGGCCAGGTAGGGCTGGCTTTTCAACACAAAGTGAAGAATAAAAAGGTTGTAAACAGGAAGCTCCCATCAAATTAATGAGTCCATGAGTTAAGCTTGAGCTTGGCCCATGTCAGGAGTTGATTCTAAACTGAATCCCCTCCCTCCTTTCTCCATCACACTGAGTCCCCACCACTCTCAAAGAGGGTTGGGTTGCTTGTGGGCCAGACAGTGGGAAAGCCAGCTTGGTCCATTCATTTTACCAGATGGCAGAAAACTGCACTGATCAAGTCATAGCCTTCCCACTTTGACCTTTTGTGCTCAACTTCTTCAACTAAACTATGTGTGGACTGGTCCTCACCAGCCACTTGGCTTATCTTGAAACCCATGGGCCTTGGAATTTCTGAATGCTGACTCCATTTCAGATTCTGAGTCTTATGTATCCACACTGGATTGCTGTGGTTTGGGGAAACTGGATCCAATACATACACATGGCTTGCAGTAGGGTTTCCTAAGCCCACCTTGGCTTACCTTGTAGTCTGAACCCAGACCACAAATTAAATGAGAGAGAGAGAGAGAGAGAGTGAGGCTTGCCATGATTGTCATAAATGTTTGCCTTTCTAGCCAAGCCCTAGCAGGTAACTACCATTCCCAGGCATCCCAAAGTGCCAAACCATCACTTACAGAAAGCTGGAAATGTCTTACCCTTTCCCTGCTAGCAGTTGGGGGATCCCTTTAAACCTTAGAAAAACCTCTATATGAAGAGGAAGATACCGCTTAATTCAGAAACCTCACCTATCACTGGGATTTTCCTTAGATTTTGCCACTTCCCAAAGTGCTAGCCACCTAAGGTAAATTGCAAAACTGAAGAGACTATTGGGGCTTACAAGCTCCCCCAAATTACTTCACTGTTTGAACAAATACTGAATTCTTGAAAACTGAGCAGTTCATTAGATGCTTTTTCCTGACCATACCTGGTTGAAGATGCTGGGCCATACAATGGCATCCACAGCAGTGCTCAGCATTTTGTCTGCAGGGGTGAGGGGGTCTATCTTTCCAATTCTGACTCTAAGGAAGGACTGGTTTGGGAATATGACCCAGTTGAAAATATCAAATCCAGTGACTAATTCCCCATTTTTATCAAAGGAGATCTGGTCCCCAGCAGTGTTGTTAAAGGAAACTCTTCTCAGAAAGTGATGGAGCTAAATTGAAACAAAAGAAAAGGCAACTAAGATTACAGGGTTCTTGTTGCAGTTCTATTATTAAGAGAGCATCATAATCCATCAGTATCTCCTGGTGCGAATCAGCCTGGTCATAAAAGTGGAAGAAGGTGAAATTGAACATTTGAATACCAGCTTGAATACTGCATTTGACACACATCCAGTGGCTGAAACTTTGGCTCCTGCTTGTGCTATTACAATAAATTATCTTTAATTGGAAAAGCCCAAGAATGTGGCTGTGATCATTGGGTTGATTACAACTAACACTTATGTTGTAGATATTGCCCTTTATTCCTTTGTAAAAGCTGTTGGAGGGAATGGGCCACATGGAGAATGGTGAATGCCAGGTGCAACTTCATCTTGCTGAAAGGTAATCAGGGACATAATCCTCTCTGAACCCCACCATTTTGGATGGTTTCCAAATATTCTCCAGACGGTTTATTTAGATCGTGGGTCCTCAAACTATGGCCTGGGGGCCAGATCCGGCCTGCCATGCCCATTTGGACCCACTGCAAGTGTACCCATGTGCGCCCCTGCTGCCAACCACCTCACCCTGCACACGGGGAGGCAGCAGTTTGCTCACTTGGAGAAAACTATCTCCAAGCAAGCAAGCCACTGTCTCGTGCATCTGCTTTGCTGCACGTGCCCGCCCCCATCTTGCCTCGCCTCCCTTACCACTCACGCCTGCCCAGGCCTCACCTCACCTTGCCTCACCACACGCCCTGCCCCCATGCCAGCCCACACATACCGCCAGCACCACCTTTCCGGTCCATGCCCAGCACCTGCAGCTTTCAACTGGCCCCTTTGTGGAAAAGTTTGAGGACCCCTGATTTAGATGATCCATTCCAATCTGGCTTCAGGCCTGGTTTTGAGAGAGACTGTTGTGATCACCATTGTGAATGATCTATGTAGGACTGTGTCCCCTGTTAGTTCTCCTAGTTCTTCTAGACCTTTTGGCTGCTTTTGAACCTTTGAGCATGGCATCTTCTTAAAGTGTCTGTCTGAAGTTGGACTAGGAGGGACTATTATGCAATGGCTCTAGCGCAGTCGTGGCGAACCTATGCCACACATGTCACAGCGGGTACACAGAGCCCTTTGTTTTGGCACGTGAGCCAAGTTGCGCAGCATCGCACCAGCAGCAGAGCATCGGATAACAGCACACATAGGGGCCATGCGCATGCTCAGAAAAGAGTAGCGGTGCCAGGCACTGACGTCACGAGCCGCGACTCATTAGCCGTGACTTGTCCGAGCTTTAACATGGCTGGTCAGTGCGCTTCCAAGGATATATTTATATTTGCTTGGGCTGGCTGTGAGCTGTTTTTCCTAAACTAAAACCTCATTTTTCAGGTTTTATTGCAGTGTTGGCACGTTGTGATAAATGAGTGGGTTTTGGGTTGCAGTTTGGCCAATCGGTCTCTAAAAGGTTCACCATCACTAGGTTAGGGTTAGAAAAATGAGGTATTCTGGCATGGTCTTGATGGTTGGAATGTGTTTAGAAGGGGCAGAAAAGTTGAGCTGTGCAGAAACAGCTACTCAAGGACGATTTTTGCAAAATTGCCCTCTTTTCTACTGAACTTTAGCCCTATATTAGGGTTAGGGGTGTGCACCAGGGTAGGGTTATGTTTGGGAAAACAATGTGTCCTGGTAAGATTTTAATGGTTGGGATGTGTTTAGAAGGGGCAGAAATGATAAGCTATGCAGAAAAAGCTCCTCAAGGAAGACTTTTTCAAAATTGCATTATTTTCAATGGAACTTCAGCCCTATATTAGGGTTATGGGAATGCACCAGGGGAGGGTTAGAGCAGTGGTGGCACACATGCCACAGTGGGCACACAGAGCCCTTGTCAGCCCATGAGCCAAGTCACCGCAGCATCACCCCAGCTGCCAAGCATCGGATAACAGCTCACATAGGGGCCATGCGCGTGCTCGGAAAGGAGTAGCACCGTCAGGTGATGAGGTCACGAGCCGTGACTCATTAGCTGCAACTTGTCTGAGCTTTTGCATGGCCATTCAGTGCACTGCCAAATATATATATATATTTGCTTGGACTGGCTGTGAGGTGTTTTTTTCTAACTGAAACCTCAATTTTTAGGTTTTATTGCAATGTTGGCAGTTTGCGATAAATAAGTGGGTTTTGGGTTGCAGTTTGGGCACTCGGTCTCTAAAAGGTTCGCCATCACTGCTCCAGTGGTTCTGAAGGATGCTCTCTGAAGGTGGTGCTGCAGGATTCCTGTCCAACACTGTGGTCATTGTCCTGTGGTGCCCGCACAAATCCAGCTCATTCCACATGCTATTTAACATATGCATGAAAACACTGGTAAAAATCTGCAGAGTCAATGCCACCACCATGCTGATATCTATCCTTCCCTTCCGTCTAATCCCAAGGAAGTCTTGTTGCTTCTTTATTGGTGCCTGATGTCTATATTGGATTGGGTAAGGGCAAACAACTTGAAGCTTAGTTCAGACAGGACAGAGGGGCTGTGGTTGGTCAGTTGCATATGACAGGTTGAGAGGTTTTCTTGCAGGGAGCCAAAAGTATGTTTTCCTTTGTTTGTTTATTATGCATTTTTCCTTTTCCTCTTTTTGGACAGGTTTCAATTATTAACATTTCCTTTTAAACTTTGGGGTTTCAGATTTTTTTTCCTATTATGGGCATGCAGGGAACAATGAGAATATTATGAAATGTATTTTGGCAAAGTTAAGATGAGGACAGCTTTTTCCTCACATTCCTCTTCTCAGCGTTGGATCCTAAAAACTACATCAATCAAACAACACGTTTAAATATTTTAAATTTTCGTTCTTAAAATTAAATGAAATTAACATTTTACTTCTTTAAAATTGAATTTTTAATTCTTAGTATTTTAAGAAGTAAATTTTAGGAAGAAGAAAAATTAGATAAGTAAAAAATACCTAGGAGAATACCAAGGATGCTCTGTGCCAGATACTGCCATTGAAGCTATATAAGCTCTTCTGGGTTTATGCACTTGGGGAATTACCTGCCAGGGCTGATGAGCTGGATGCTCCCAGAGAGTTCCATGCACCTTTGCTCTCACTTTGGATCTCGAGGAATGCAAGGATTGCAAAGCATGTGCCACAGCATGGACAGCGTTATAGACACTGTAGCTTTGGCTGGTCATGCCCATTTCAAAGACAGACCCAGGAAGGGTCTCCAGCTTCTCCACCCCAGTGCAGATGTTCTCATGTGCCTTTTCTTTCTCATTGCTTTGGAATACACAGGAAAATGTCTGCTGCCAGAAGTCCCTGATAAAGCCATCTTCTTTGTCTGAAGCAGGGTTTCTCATCTGAAGAAATTTCTGGAATCCTATCACATCCTTAGAGCTAACTGTAAATGAAATAGCACCGTGGATGATGCTTATGTCCCAAAATCTTTGAAAGCAGACTGATGTGAACTCCATCTGCGCTGTCATGATCCAGACTTTCTGTTTGGTCTTCATTGGGATTTCGAAAATGTCTGAAAACTCTGGTAATGTTATCAAAGATATCATTGTGTGGATTTCACCATGCACAATTACAACAGTGGCAGTACTGCTCATAATGACCTCAAATGCTTCTGTCCACACTTCCACCATTTCTGCAATATCGCCAGTGATACGCACTGTTAGCAATGGTTGTATAAAGTCAAAACAGATGCCTTTCTGAGAAAACACAGGAAGAACAGTCTGGACAAATCTTTCTCCACTCTCGTGCACAAAAATGATGCCAATCCAAGTCCACTTAAAAAACAGGAGCAACTGGAGAATCCCTGTATACTGGTGTGCTCCTTTAGGGAACATTCCTTGGAAGAAAGCAGCTTGGCTGTGATCGTTTGTCATTGGAGCAAAGCCATATCCAAGCTGCAAGGACAATAAAAATAGAAGGAGCTACAAAGGTAAAGAGCAAACTCTGGACCTCCACTTCAATTCTATAGAAAATGAAAGATAAAAGCACTATTTTCATTCATATCTCCAAAAACACCAAAACTGAGTTTGAGGACTTAACCTGAGTTGTTCCTTTGCTGCAGTGGCTGGTCAGTATCCTTGGACAGGTTGCTTCTTCCAGACTTTTATGGGTAGGAATATGCAAGTTAGGAGTGAAATTCACCCTTTACTGAAGGAACAATAGTATCAAGGAAATAAGATGGAAGGTTGAACTAAAGGATTTAATTATATGCCCCCTATCAGTTATAATCCTACCAAACTGCAATACACATGCACTCCAAGGAGCAAAAAAATCACTTCCATCCACTGCAAAAAATGAACATATACTGCGAAAACTTTTATTGTCTTGCAATGTAAGGACAAACCACACCTTATCCAAAATGGCTGTTTTATTTATATATTTATTAGCTTCATATCCCACTGTTTTCTTATAACAAACTCAATGCAGCTTCCATCATTCCCCTCCTCCTGCTCTCTATCTTATCTCCATAACAACAACCCTATGAGGGAGGCTGGAAGGAGACTCTGTGTCAGCCCCAGTCACCCAGTCGGCTCCATGGCTGAGTGGGGACTAGAACCCAGATCACCTGAGTCCCAGTCCCATGCCGTTAGCCACTACACAATATTGCCTCTCTATGATCATGCATGATTAGCTTCATTACCTCAAGCTTGCATGGCTACAATTCAGTTGAGGAAGTTGCTACTGTAAACGTAGGTATTTTTGCTTTTTCTCTCTAGATTTCCCCCCCAGAATTTCAACAACACTACATTTTTTCTTTCTTTTAACTCTCCATATGGGGTGGAGAGAATAAACTTCAGGGGAACTTCAGAATAAGCACAGAAGCAATAAACCTGAAATCCCCTCTTTCTGAACACCAGAGTTCTGATTCAAACAGGGACTTTGGTTTCTTACCTTGAGCTAACACATCTAATCATGTATAATATGGGTCCTCAAAGTATGGCTTGCGGGACAGATCTGGCCCGCCATCGCCATCCATCCAGCCCACACCACCATTCACTGCCCGTGCACCTGCTTGCTGCGTGGGCGGGGAGGCAGTGGCTTGCTCACTCAGAGATGGTCTCCAAGCAAGCAAGCTGCCGCTGCCTCTTGTACCAGTGCACTTGCCGCTGCCTCACAGCGCAGGCAGGGAGGTGGTGGCTTGCTCACTCAGAGATGGTTTTGGACTTGCTGGGAGATCTCCAAGCAAGCGAGCCACTGTTGCATGCACCCGATGCTACCTCACACACACCCAGCACCGCCTTGTGTGTGCCCCCAGGCACCCCCATCTCACTGGCCTGCAATGGTCACTGCAGCCTTTCAACTGCCCCCCTATTGAAAAGGTTTGAGGACTGCTGATGTATAACTCCTGAGTAGAACAGCATTTTATGTCCAAAGCCAATCCTCAACAAAATTGCAGAGAAGTGTAATAAATAAGAAACATTGATGGCATAGCTCGCATCCCAGTGCTCTTGGCACATATCTTACCTGTGGCACTTTGTAGATAAACAGAATGTTTGCCATGGAAGCACACACACTTGAATTTGGACCCCCAATGACAGCAACTACATTGTCCTTTGCATCACATTTATAGTTCGGGCTGAATTTGCCCCATGTCGAGAGAAGTTCCATTGAGGCAAGATAAATAGTGCTTGCATCAAAATGACTATCGTGAATAAGGAGGCCCAGGGTGTGGTTGGGGAAGCTCCAGTGATTTGCACTGATCTCCTCTGTAGCAAATACAAAGGCCAGGGTTTGCTGGTACAGCTGGCTCACAAATCTGCAATGCATACCATGCACTCCATCAGCACACCTCCAGATTATGGAGGCTGCTGCATTTCCATGGGATCCTGATTTAGCAGATGTACTTGGGAAACACTGGTGATATTTTGGCAGCTTCAGTCCAGGGAAGTGTGTTCAAACATTGGCACTCTAAACTCCACATGAAGACAGTGAGTTCCTCCTTGCCCTTGACCTTCAGTGATCATTCATAATTTGTTTTATTTATTAGATTTATATCCAGCTTTTTCTTATAATGAACTCACAGGGGCCTACATCATGCTCCTCCTCCTGCTCTCCATCTTATCTCCACAACAACAACCTTGTGAGGTAGGTTGGGATGAGAGGCAGTGACTGTCTCAAAGTCACCCAGTTGGCTCTATGGCTGAGTGGGGACAAGAACCCAGGTTGCCTGAGTCCCAGTCCTGTGCCCTTAATCCTAAACAATTTAGGACCTAGGTATCTGAAGAAGCATCTCCTTCCCTATGTGACTGCCTTTTAAGATCTGGGTCAGAGGTTCTTCTTCGGGAGCTCTCTTTGAAGGAAATTCAAAGAGCCAGTGTGGTGTAGTGGTTAAGAGCATGGGACTGGGACTCAGACGATCTGGGTTCTAGTCCCCGCTCAGCCATGGAGCCAACTGGGTGACTTTGGGCCAGTCACAGACTCTCAGCCCAACCTACCTCACAGGGTTGTTGTTGTGGGGATAAGATGGAGGAGGAGATGTAAGCTGCCTTGAGCCCTTTGTAGGAAAAAGGCAGGATATAGATAAAAAAAATAATAAAAAAAATAAATTAGGAGAGTAGCTACCTGGAGAAGGGCCTTCTTCATGGTGGCACTCTGGCTGTAGAACCTGCTTTCCAGAGGGGTGCATCTGGCCCTGACACTTTATTCTTTTCGGTGCCAGGCCAATCCCTTTTTATTTTCCCATTATCTTAAGACCTAATTTTTATTTTAGTCAGGGTTTTATTATAGATATGATACTGTGCCTTTGTTGTTGAACCATCCTGACACTTTTATGTATAGGATGGGTTACAAAAGTTTTGAATGAATGAATGAATAAATAAATAAACAGAACACACTGGCTTTCTATTGTCCCTGTGTTGTTATTCTTCATAAATAAGATTGCAATCCAATGGCATCCTGACATTGCTGAAGGGACATGAGGGTACCCCACCACCCGCCTGAGACTCTGAGCTGGGATTCCCAAGGCAGAATTCCTACCCAGCCCCACTTATCAATGAGGCAGAAAGAAACTTGATGCCAACTTTCCCTGAGATTGTGAATGCACTTCAAAGTGGAAAAGAAGGGATTTGCCAGAGTGAGGCAGCAAGAATAGCATAGAAGAGGAATTACACTGATCCCTGATGACATCCTGGCTGGAGGAACTAAGCCCTTTTCTCCCAAATTGCAGCAATCTATGGTTGATACCTCAGAAGGTGAATCAGAACTGGATGCAAAGTTGGGTGGGAGTTCTTCTCTGAATGTCAAGGCCAGAGGCCCAAGAGGCTGCTGAGAATCAGGGCACATCTGTTTCTGTGGGAAATGTCACTGAACAGAGTCAGATGGGGCCAGATGTAACACAAGCAGTGCCATCAATCCAAAGGACAGACCAGCTGAGTAGCTGTCTGGTCCACAAATAGCAGAAACCACCCTGAAGATGGAACATGCTCTTTTTTGTTGGAAAGAGAGAGAGGAATGATTCCATTTGGAACCAACTTCTCACCATTAAACTGTAGTTCCCTAATAACTACTATTCTAACTTTGCTGGTGTCTTTTGACAATGCAATATTCCTCCTTTGTACTGGAAAGGCAGCCTAGCTGGCAAGTAAAACCTAATAAAGTTTGCCACTGGAAGCCTTTAGTCCTGATCTGTATGAAAGAAAAAGAGGAGGGGGAAGAAGCTTTGGACAACAGCACTGATGGGTTTGCATTCAAAGGCTTGCATGCATCAAGGTTTGGGGCAATAGGACTGTTTCACCAACACTAACAGTTGTGTGTAAACCAGACAGAAACATGAGTGTGTGCACACACATTAAAAATGCCATGCTCAAAATTCAGCTGAAAATGTACAGTGCCTTACTGATATTGGGATGGATTTCTGACTTTCATTTTTCCTGTATGTTCTCAAGATACTAATAACTTTTATTTATCCTTGTAGATTGTATGTTCTTAATGCTATGCACCATTGTGGTATTTTGAACTGGAGTAAACAAGCTCAAAATGTAAACAAGAAAATAGAAGCATTGCCACTGATCAAGAGATTGACATGAACAGAATTTGACGTTGTTTTGAAAGCTTACAAATGGCAGACTAGTAACACTGATATCTATAAAAGAATACAGGAGGTACTTATTACCTTGTGAACAGAGTCTTGGAGTGTAGAATTGTTTTCTTGAAGCAAATAAGATATAGAAAGAAAAGGGGTATAAGGAAAGAAGAGAAATAAAATTGCCAAGGGATTTTGAGCCATTTTAACCCATAATTTCATAAACTGCAAATTTCCAAAAAGACCAAAATTTTCTAATTTTTTATTAATCAATACTCTATTGAAGCTCAAAAAAGAGAATGACTATAATTCTATATACTGACAAGTTTCCCAATCACTTCAATTCAATTATAAAATGACACCATTTCAGTGAGCTTCCTGTACATCTTAATTATACTGGATATAATAGAATTTCCATTTAACATTAAATTCTTCCATTGGTCTTCTGTTTACCTAATTGGTCAGTTTTCTCATCACTGCATACTCTGCCAACCTCTTTTTCCAATCTTCAATTGCTGGACACTCTGTTGTTTTCCATTTAGAAGCAATTGTAATTCTTGCTGCTGTTGTCATCTATTTGAATAACTCTGGCATGTTCTTTGAAAGAGTCTCTGGCATTACGTTCAAAAGCATATCCAAGTGTAGAATTTCTGTGGTCCTTCACACACTGGGATATGCACATGTCTACAGTGAGTATGCATAAACAAGTATGTAGGAATGGGCATCTATGCTTATAGGATACCATCTAAGGTCACAATCTTATGGCTAAAAGATGCTATTTGGCTAACAGTTGGAAAATTCAGAATCTCAG